AAAAATCATTTCAATTCTTTTAGTACAAAAAATATATATTTATGAGTCTATTGATTGTAAGAACTTTATTAATATACTTTACTTTTATGAGAATATTTGATAATTTGTTGCGTGAAATTTCAAAAATTAATTCGAAACAGTACAGACATTGTACAATATATTGAGTTAACTGGCCGCAATTTTCCTCTACATTATTTGAGAAATTTACAATATGTAAGAATTTCCTACTCTATTTGCAATGTTTCTCAATTCTTGCTAATTTTCTTTAAATGTTGTACAAGCGCGAATAATAACAGAAAATATGGATTATACCAATCAAAATTATGACGCCTGCGCATCTATATATTCTCGGTTGCAATGCGACAAAACGATTTTATGGAAAATAAACCCAACAAAAATTTCGTTCTATTTCTATTTTATTTTTATGATGATGTTTTCTGATAAGAAAGATGTATTACGAAAGCTTGAACGACGCATCGCAATATGAGATATAACGGACTTGGTTAGTGGTTTTCGTCTTAGTTTAAAAATTACCCGCGTCGTTATTGCTGTATATCGGTTAATCAACCGTCCACCACCTGAGTTGGCTCGGTGACCGAGCGCCGTCAGCCCTTGAGGCGCGCGTGACGTGAGATGCCACCGACGATTGTACCAAGCTTGAACACCACGACACCACGAACAAGCCGCCACGTGTACTCGTTGAACAGCACATCCACACCAATCCGAAGACCCCATGCCGCCGCCGCTCAGTCCTCCGCCAGCTCTGTGTGCACGAAACTTCGCTGCCCGGAGAGGACGCGCCTGTTGCTCGGCTGGCGCTGCGGCTCGAGTGGGCTCCTCGCGATCAATACCGATCCGGCCCGTGCGCGTTTTTAGCGCTCGCGCGACGCCACCCGTGTTTGATCGTATCGCGGACCGCGCCAGATAGCCGCGTATCGGCAAAGTCGAAGTCCGTTCCTCCGTGAACCTCAAAATTCCTTGAGGCAACAGCATCATAGTGCTCTGGATGAAGTGACCTCTTTTAACACCCTTAAAGGGGGACCAGACAACGTAGGGATCACATGTGGATGTTTTTAAACTCGATGGTTTTGTAGAAACTCATTTCTTCAATATTGAGTAAAATTAACGCTGATGTTTTTAACATATTATTTATTATACATTTTTCCCCGATGATTTTTTCTGAATGAAAGATCCATGATCACTATAATGTAAAGTTAAAATATGAAACTAATAACTTATGTAACATGGAGTTTCATGTTTGGAACCAAAGGAAGCCTATCTGAACTACCTTGATCGATCCACACTCTCTCGCTCCCATGACTTCATTGCATTGTATTTCCCACTTCTTTATTCATTTCGCACATTAGATTGGGATACAATACGCTGTGGGCGTCGGGTCTGGCCTTTTTTTCTCGAGTTTACTAACGTGATGTTTTGTTATCGGGTGATCCATATTAGCGAACAGTCCTTTTTTGAGCTTCTGTCCGTATTTTTTTTTGAGAAGAAAATGGGACGCTAAAATGTTCTTTCTTTGCGACAACGACTTGTCATTAAAATTAGCATTAAATATTGTGTCTTTCGCATTTGTTTTATAAAGAAATTTTTAAAGAGCAATGCGGCTATGCCGTCTTTTCAACTTGTTCGTATATGTCTAATACTAACGCATCGTTATGAAGAATTCAATATTCCGATGCTTCTGCTTCTGAGAGTTTTTGGTGACTTAGTTGCAATCTTCATTGAGAAATACTGACCTATTTCGGCAATGAATGGAAGTGAAATTAACAAAGCGTATTTTTTGTATTTCTATCTAATGTTCTTATCATGGGTCCTATTTTTGAAATAAGAATAATTGTCGTGTGGATTTTCCAAGAAAGGACGAAATGTCTCTTTTTTTTGGATGGGGGTATTACTTTAATCCAGCTTGGTACAAATGTATGAAGGATACTGCCTATTTTTCAACATTTCAAAGTCCCCGACATCACATAATTATTTATTGATTTATAGATAAATGACATTTAACTTCTATTATCTCGCCAACAACCGGCAAAATCCATAGCTAACTAGTCAACATACGTTTTTTCTTCAATGAATGCGACAGTGTGCAATCAGCTGATACAACTTATTGCATGATTGGGGCTGTTATAGATTCGCTGTCTCTGTGATGTTAATACTATTAATACCGTTCTGCTGACCATGTGTAGTTAATACCTTGTGCTTGTGTGTTATATTTCGACCAGGATGACCAAATAGAAAATCGTTGTTTAATTATATACTCAAAAATTCAAAGGGTGTTGCAAGGTTCAAAGCAAAGCAAAGGTTAATTGCTGAGGGAAGATTTCATCATCCCCAAATACATCAACTATAAAAGTGAAAAGACAGAAATGATAATAAGTAGCCTTTTGGTGATTGAAGTGGGTGACAGTGTTGAAGTATTTTATTTTGCCAGAAGTATTTTTTTAATAATTTAAGGTCGCATCAACATCTAGGTATTAGCATTAACGCACTATTGCTTGTACGGTATGAAACTATCAGGAATGAACGATATGATGATGATAGGGGTGAAAGGACGAACACAATACAACATGCCCGAGCGAGACTGGAACGCGATCCTTGGTCCGAGATCGGCTACGCTACTATGCCTTAGCGACTCGGCCATCCGGACTGCAGCAGTATTTGTCTTTAGGAAAAATAGATTTCTTAAAACATTTATATGAAGTCGTCTCTTTTTTTAAGCAATGTCTCTTCATTGTAATGGAATTATTACCCTCCGCCTCACCCCCCTGCGCTTATGACCCCCCTGGCCCCACTTGCGTCTCAGAGTCCGTTTAATGCTCCACAAGTTTCCGGCGTTCCCGAAAGCGCGAACGCGTGTGTCGGCAGGTTGCTGCGGAGTTGTTTGGATTAGCTCGCACACGCTCCGAGGTCCAAG